ATGCCGAGTATCGAGTACGAAGGCAGTACATGCCAAACAATTTGTCTAGTCATTGCGACTTAGCCGAGGCAATTATATGACATAAAATAACGGGTCTTTAAATTTCACGAAACAAGATTGCCGCCACTTACGTTCGGCTCACGCGATCGAAATGAAAAAGCGAGGCACGGAAAAGGCGACCAGTTGCTTATCACGTGTCCCGTGTCCCCCGTGATTCGCTCGTGTGCCTCGTCGTTTCTCCCTTTTGTCGAAAAATGGAGAGTCGGAATGTAAAAAGCTCCTCACCTGCGGATGATCGACGCCCTCGTTCTTGGGATGCTGAGCTGTTCTGTCGTTGGTGGGCCTCTGGAGTCCGATGCTCGGCCTCTTGTGCGCCGTCTCCCGCACCGTCGCTGGCTGCTCGGCGGGTCGCTGCTGCTGCTGCTTCGGGCGCTGCGGCGTCGTCGAGGTCGGGGCGCCCGTCGTCGGGGCCACCGTCGTGGTGCGGAGCCGCGTCGGCAGGAAAGGTCTGCCCCGCGTGTTCGTCGGGCGCGAGGTCGACTTAGCCGTCGCCGACGTCGTGGTCTGTGGCTCCTCTGCGGATGGTCGTTTTGGTCGTTAAGCTTCGTTAATGCTCGTCGCTCCGCGCAACCGACGCGCGAGAGAGGAGGGACGGAGGACCGCATGGATAATTTACTAATTTTTATTCGGATACTTGCAAATTATAACTCTCTCGTTATAACGGAGACCGTATATTGGTTAATTGTTTAAAAATGACAATTTAAAATATTGGCTTACGATAATTATCTAATTAATAATTCGATTTTTAGACGTAGAAAATGCCCGACGAGTTAAACGACCGAAGACATCGATAGGGATCTATCGTCATAGAATTTTATAATTTTGATTGTCTCATAGTTAAAAGTACACATTTTACAGTGCTGCTTATATTTAATATCTAATGTCAAAAGTCATCTGTAGTCATGCAAATGGCTTAGTTGACGCATAAATTTGATGAAAGCATAAAAAAAAAATTTTGGTAATTAAACAAACATTAGATTAAAATAGTATTAAGGTCCACTTAAAATAAAGATATAATTTAATTGAAAATTGCACGAAAATGGGTAATAAGGATAGAATGAAAAGAAGACAATTGTCAATCTATTACGGTGTAAACATTTTACCAAATCGAAGACTCATTTCGCTCATTATCGGTGAATTTTGTTATTGTTGTTTTTTTTTTAATTCATTTTTTCAACATGCAAGAAAAGCCTCGTTACATCAACATTAACGATACTCTAATAATCGGTAACTCGTTCCTCGATTTAATAAAATGAAATTAATGCTATCGTTAAATTATGCTCATTGCCGTTTGAAACTGAACATTTCGTATATTCGTATATTTCTTAATGTAATACAGCCTGTAAGAAGGCCGTTCTCCCTCCCCCCAACAATCGCTCATCATTATTCGGCATTTAATCCTTCAGAAAGATCATACTCAGACAGAAAATTTACCCTTACATGCGATTGCCCATTAATTTATAACGGAAATCTATGACAGTTAGTTATACAGAGACTCGACTCTTCTTCCTCCCCCTCCCCCCTCCCCAATACGACATGAGCGATTATGCAAACTAGCGGGAAAGTGCCACTCCATTCTTTTGCGGATTGGGTCCGTAAGTCGGAGGGGTGGGGGAAGGGCAATAAGTCGTTAGTCGTCCCATTGCAACCGGGTCAATGGTGACTTAAATTTTCCGTGCGGGAGTCCTCGCTACCTGTGCAACTGGGCGCCGCGCGGTCATACGATCCACTGGGCAGACAGAGCAACTGCCGGTTGCCGCTCAGTCTGTAGCCCCTGTCGCAGGTGTAGGTGACAATGCTGCCGACGAAGAGGCCCCTGCCGGTCGCGTTGGCGGGCATCGGCGTCGCGGCGGCCGCGGCAGCCGCGGCCGCCACCTCCTCGATGTCGATCTCGTCGATCTGGATTTGGCTGTGGGCGACCACCGCCGGTGGATCGCACCTGATCGGTTCGCACCGTGGTGGCGGTCCGTTCCAGCGCTCGTCGATGTCGCACGTCAGCCGGGCCCGACCTAAGCCAACGGCATTTCGTCATTAATACGGAGGCCTTACCAGTTTCTTACCGCTCGTCATTGAGTTTAAGAGATTCGTCAATTCACCGGTCATTTCGAAGCCTTCTTCGCAGGCGTACAGCACTTGACTGAGGTAGGTCACGGTATTATTGATCAAAGTGTATCCGCCGTGTTTGATGCTGGCCGGAAATCCGCACTCGATGCCTAGATCAGCAGAAACATAAGAAAACAGTAGGGGGAGTGGGGGGTTAGGGTTGCCGTCGATGAGTGATTCCGCTACTCTATACAATATATCGATCAATAATCATGGGGGATGGCAAGTTGTATTATTGATCAATAATCATGATACAATAATTATGGGGGCTGGAAAGTTGTATTATGGATCATATTTATGAGTCACGTTAGAAATGGATCGCTTTAACGTTCTAAGCTTATCGAACCGTTGGTCAATCGAGCGTTCGCTGCGTCGGTATAATTTTCAGACAATGACTCATGGGGAAAATCATTTTGCGGAACGATTAATGGAAGTGCTCGACGGAATAACCAAGAGTCATTATCAACGGACTAAAGTTGGCTAGACTAAACTTGGTCGCGGAGTAAATCCGATGCCGTAGCAGCGAGGGTAAACATTCTCCGTGGATCGGTGATCCAGCCATCCGTTCGTACGAAGAAACAAGTTTAATTTAAGTGGATTGGAAGTAGTAGGGATGAGCGAGAACAGCCTAGACGAGGAATACTCTGTTACTGACTTTTGCAAACGGGCGGGAATTCGTTGTAGAATCCTGTGTCGAGACAGGTACGGCTCGAGGGTCCTATGAGGAGGCTCCCGCCGTCGCAGGCGTACTCGACGTTGGTGCCGACCTGGTAGTTCCTCGCGGGCTCCTTACCCGCCGGTGGGCTCACCACCGTCATCGTCGAGTTCGGCGGCTGTTCCGGGCGACCGCAGGCACGTGGCTCTGTCGAATAAATCACTGGATTAATCACAGCTCTTATATCTACGGGCCACTCCAACATGGCGCGTTAACCTACATATTTCTGAGGACGCCGTGGCGCTACGCTTGCGAGTCGGCGATTGTAGTCGCACTTGGAAAAGCGACTCCGCAGCTCGAGCGACGACACAAATTATTGGCTAATTCGTAATTTTCAAGGCTTTGCTTTTATCGTTTAACGGCCTAATAATGCGCCATTTCTCGTTTGGCCGTATATTTTTTCATACGACTTGTCCAGTTTTGGCAAACATTTTCTCCGCGTCATGACAATAAAAGGCTTTTTTTTCATAACAAATTGAAAAAAATGTATCATCAAGTTGTGCAATTCGATAATACTTAAATCGTGAGATGATATCGTTATAGACGAAATTAAATAACGACAAGATTGCAACATTCAAACATTACATTTTATCTCGTTTATTAAAGTAACGACGAGCATAAAAGAATCTAAGTATCTAAGCAAAGAATTCAAATGTTTGATTGTGATTGTGAGTGCTTATTAGGCAGCTTTGGGAAATAGATGATACAATGTTATATAAAAATTTCATCGAGATCTAAATTAATCGCGTCGTTTCAATGATATTATTTACAATAAAAGAATAGTTAATTGCATGAAATGACAATGTACGAGATTTGAGAAAATTTCGACTTTCGACTGCGATTGAAAAGCCCTACTTTCGTGCATTAGGATATTAAGATATATTACATGCTACTCGTTCTCAAACATTTTCCGTTTAACTAATTTAATAATTCAGGGCTTAATATTCCGAGTTTAATATGCCTGTAGCGTCATGAATGCAAAAATAAATACTAATAATAAGTTGGCGAGGGAATAATGGAGTAGAATTTACTAAACAAAGGTTAAGCCCGGAAGGATTTGAAAATAAATTATACTTCCTTATAAATGCTTCGTAATATACATTACGATCGCAAAATTTATGACATTCTCTGAGTTATTATCATAATCATGTTCTTTAATATTTAATAGAAATTTAGATTTTAAGCTTTATACGTTAATTTATTAAAAGTTATAAAATTGCGTGCACTTGTATTTTGTATGAGCGAATGAAAAATGTTTAGCCCGAGCAAGTAAAGAATTTCAATAAATCAATGCTTGCCAAATAATAAAATTTTATTTCTTACTATTTATTAATATCAATAATATATTATTATAATTTAATACAATCGAAATTGCGTATAGTCATTGCAAAGACTAATTTATGTAATTGAATGTGTAATAAAATGTATAAAAATAATGTTTGTAATTTTAAATTAGCAAATATATATTATGAATATTGAAAATGGTATATCAAGAAGATAGAACAATAGAACAATATAGATAGAACAATATAGAACAAGTAAGCAGCGTATCTATGTAAAACTATGGCAATTCTAATAATTGCCAAATGTTTTGTAATATTTATAATTAAATGATTAGAGTAATGGGTTCTTCATAGTAGTAAATATAGAGATTGTTTGCTTTAATGTTAAGATTGTTAGATTCGCCGTGTATTATTTTCAATATTCAAATACAACACTCGAAAATTTTTCACCCATTGATGATAAAGTATACGCTAATAATTAGAAAATTAAATTAATTTACCGTCCTTATATTATAAAAATTATAGCGATGATATTTATAAAAATATATATATATATATATATATATATAAGAATTATGAAAATAAACTGCTTTGTTTGTTATAATTTTTGCTTTTCATTTAATACTGAAATTCTTAATTTTTCCTTATACTCACTTATATTCATTCACATTATACAGTGAATTATCTTTATTATCTATTTAAATTACCACAAAATGAAATTGCTTCTACTTAAAAACGTATCAATGCATATTTAATAGATGTAAAAAATCTTGAAATCGTGCCTGTATGTTTTCAATTATGCGAGAATGAAAAACGCTTTTAAATTGTTAAGTCGAGTAAAATACGAGACCTACCTTTCATCCGATATGATTAATGAAAACTTAACGAAGCTTATATTCATTTAAATTAACCCGTGAATAATCGTGCAATGAGACTATACGATTTAACGTTAATTAACATCCAAATGCACGTACGTATGTTACGTCAAATGTTCACACGGCCAACAATAAGATACACAGCCGTTTCCTACGTCATTCGATTTATAAAGTTTTGCTGAACGGACGTTGGAAAGTTCAGGGAGAACGATGATACGCAAAGTCAATACTAACGGTGCTGACAAATGTAGTTGAGCTTGGCGGTGCAAGGCGTCTCCGACCACAGCCATCCCCTGCTACCGTCGTATCTCGCGCACTCCTCCTCGGTACCCTGGGGCATGCTCCAGAATGAGACGGATATCTCGTCACCGTTTCCGGTCCAGCGCCAGACGGTCCTATCCTTGGGATCTCTGACGGCGCCCATCCAGTATTGGCTGGAGGTGTCACTCCTGGTGAGCAGGCATAACGATTATTTACGGTATCTCTCGATTACCGATTTACACCCTATCGCCCCTCTCCCAGATCCCACTGTCGCCCTGGCTAATGCTAGGCTTACCTGTGTCGCCTCCACAACTCCCAGGATATGAAGCCCTGTAGGGCGGGGTTGCTCTCGTCGACGAGGGTACCACCGCGCGCCCGGCAAAAGCTCAAAGCGTCGCGGAACGTCTGGGGCTGTCGGTTGTAAAAGATGTAGCATTTGCCGTTGTAGGTGGCCGTGGAGCCCGGGGGTTGGTCCCGGAACTGCGGACAACGCTCGATTGGCAGGGCCTGTAGACATTAATCGTGTCTTTCAGTATCGGCCGCTCGATGTATTATAAGCAGCTGTTAGATTTGGGCAATTATCCGCCTTCCCTTGTCCCAATCGAATTGCGAATGAAAATGTGGGAGGGGAAGGCGAGTGCGAGCCGCTGATTATGAATTATCAATTGATAGCGTATAACGAGATGAGACCAGAGCCGCTTAATTAGAGCCGTTCTCATTCCAAAATAATAATACTCTTTGCATAACTCGGCATTGCTGCGTATACGAGTACTTAATGATTTAGTGTCCAGCCATAAAAAATCACTGGACAGCTAATAATGTTCATAAACATATTGGCGTGTATATACGAGATTAGTTGCGCCAGTATTATCTTTATATAGTTTTAACATAAATTCGCAATAGTCCTATGATTTACGTTGCTTTACCAATCGCGTGGCATGAAACTCGGAGGAAAGTAATTATTGCAGTTCTGATAGATAATTTTGTATATAAATTGAAGATTTAAAAATCGTAATAGCCATCTAAATGATTAAATTATTTTTTCAGCGATATTATTAAGGATATTGAAAGAAAATTGCCCCTTTGTTAAAAGCAATATTTAAGCAATCGTTGAATAAATGAAGAAAAAATTAATTATTATTCTCAAGGATATATTGTATAATAAAATAAAAAACAAAACAAAACAAAGAAAACAATAATATATATATCGACCACATTAATATAATAATTGTTTGTTCATTAATGTGCGAGTTACCGAAAAATCTTTTTTAGCTACAATTTTTTTTTGTTTTTTGTTTTCTACCACTGATCTAATGCAAACTTTACGTAATTATCATCTAAAAGATATGTTAAAAAAATATCGTAAATCTCGTTGCTACATAATAAATAATTATTAGAAATAAATTATGGCAAGTAAAGCAAGTATTTCATTATAATAGTCTTTCCTTTTTGTCTCTAACCCACATGATATTCATAATCAACAGACAGCAAGAAAAATCTCTCGGATACATAATCTTGAGTTAATATATTCCGTAAAGGCATACGCGCACCTTTGCGAATTAATATGTTCCGCTGACTCACAATTACATACTCGAGCCGACTCGAAGCACGCGAGAACTCAATGTCAATGTCAAAATCAGTGACGAAATGTACCGTAATCGCAAACTCTTCTCAACTCCCATGGGAAGAGGCACTTACTTGGTCGGTGTAAACGAAGGCTTCGCACAGCGACAGCTGGACGGGGAAGGGCGTCTGGGTGGTCGCCTCCAGGTGCACGGAGACGAAGGCCCCGGGCATGGGGGGGTTGCAGGGCAGGAAAAGCGGCTGGCCCTCCTCGAGGGGGCCGGTGAACCGATTGCAGATGGGGTTCGTACCCAAGTCGGGTCTGTTGTTGCCCACGCGGACGACTATCGTCCCCGGATGTCCCTCACCTGCAAACGAAGCATCCTTTTTATTCTCTATTCTCTATTCTCTCGGATATTGCAAATTAATGCGATTAAGGCCAATCATTAATGTAAATAATGAAATTATTGCGAGACTTTTGGACAGTTAACAAAAAAAATCATAATATTGGATAAAATATTGGAAAACATCGAGGAAACTTTTAAGAAGAAAAAAAAAGGTTATTTGAAAAAAAAAACATAGCTCGTTTTTATCTTTTGATTTTGTTGTGGCAATAATAATATCACGAATGAATAAAGACTCGGCGCAACGCGTACTTTAAGAAGTTTCTTAACAATGGGTACGACGACCCCGAGTGTGCGAAGCGGTCGCACGGCGCTTTACACGATTTATTCAAATCGATTAACAATAACTTAATCAACCGTTAAATCTTTTGCACTCCCGATACACGCCGCTCTCGCAAATAAACCCTTTTAGCCTGCAACGCTCGGGAGGCGTAGGGGATCGTTAGATGCATTGGCAAAAACAGGCAGAAACATAGTTTAAAAAAAAATTCCCGTTTGTGCGTTATGTCGCGATTGCAATTAAGCGACCGAGAATAAGTAGGGCGGAGAGGGGGGGGGTGATAGGGTGGCGAGAGGGGGCAATGGAACTGTGGCGGGAGAAGGGGGTAATTGGGCAAGCACCGCAATAGGAAAGGCGCTACGAAAATCCGCGGTGAATTTCATTCTTCTTGTGAGAGAAGGCGCGCAGCTACATAAATTACGTGCGCAATGACGGATCCGAGATCTCTCACTTTCCTTCCAAATGCAATGACATAACTCGCGGCGACACGGAATAACCGTCGCTCGTTACCTCTTCCTTTTTTTTCTTCACCTCCGTTGGCTCACGCTGTCCATGAGGAACGACGAGGTTTTTTTTTCAATTCTTTGTCTTGGTTCCTTGGCACGGCGATGCGCGCGGTCGCATCGTAAACACACGAAGGCACGTACGATTACACGTGGGGATGTGTCGAAATGTTATTTTGCCGCGCGAGAGCAGAGACGTTTCGGATGTGGTGAGAGCTTTCCTTTTTCTTTATATTTAATTGTTTGAAGGCAAATACGCAGAAGAGATGGATGATTAATTGATTTACGGTACGTTCAAATGAGCTTTGTAAACATCTTTCGAGCGCTTGGAATTCGTAATTGATATTTTTAAAGGATTGGTGCAATGGAGAAGCTAATCGTAATGGGACAATTAACGTCTCGAAGCCATAGTAAATTGGAATAAAAATTGGCCTTTTTTGCGAGGAAGACACTATCGGTAGCGACGTATATTAATGTAATTTTTTCATTTTCGGCTTATCGTCGGCTCGCGTAATGGTTAAGAAGACATTTCATACTAAACGAGGAGTGCAATATTTTTAAGACCTAAATTATTGGCTACTCATCGACTTCCAACCTCAAGCTTACGAAATTCATAACTTACGATTTATTGACAATATGCTGAACTGATTTTATAATCAAGTTTTTATTAACAATTCGATATGTTTGATTGTCAACGACACGGCAAAGCTACATTTCACTTGGGACAAGTTTCGTGGAATCGCGTGATATTGCATTAATGTGCGATGCGTTGTAAAGTTGTTTTCACCATTATATAGATGTATTGCGCACAGCGCAAATGTAATTTAAAATTATAATACACCTTTCTTCTCCAATTGATTATTAACGCTATCATCGTCATCGCGATGATTCTCATAAACATACTTATCCGTCTTATTTAGCCAAAAAAATTTCACAAATATCAACGTCATTCGACCTTCGACTCTCGAGAATAAATGACAAAGGTACTTTTAACAAAAATTGTAATTCTCGTTCAATTCCGATGAAGCAACAACGTATTATTAAAGCATAAGGTAACATTAATGTCGCAACGTAGTTAAAGCTTCTAAGCACCGTTTTAATTTCCATAAGTATCTTTTCGCCCACCATAGAGCATTCGTACTCTTAATCAATATTAAATAATGAACGACCATTGGATGAAAACATGCAGAGATTCCAGAAACTTACATTCAATAGAGAATTCAGGTCGAATTAGGCAATAGGTTAAAAATAATATTATCAGTTAACAATCTGCCACAATTGTGATTTCGTGAACGAAGAATTTCTTTTATCTTAAATATCTAAAATAATTTGTCGATTTCAGTCTATACGAAGGATATAAAGTTTTAGAGCGAATTATGCTAATTATAAGACTTTTATTCGTAGCGGCGAGTGTGAAATCGCTTAACCTCTCATGCCTGGAATTTCCTCAAACGTTGCGTAATTTACAGGGAACCGCACGATCTTTCGTTTATTCGTTTAATGCTCCCCAAGCGTAATTATAATGATACCCGTGATTCAGCCTGCAAGACCGATACCTTCGTTCGGGAATGGGCCATTACAGTCAACGAAATCCCCAAAAGAATTTTAAGTTTAACGCTAGTTCGCGGCACCATTGCTGGCGTCCATTCCGAGTTCCGATCCGAAGACGACCAAACTCACTGCGAATCGCTTTCACCCGGGAGGGGCCGCGTTTTGGCAATTAAGACGCGCACCTGCCCAACCGAGCGCGAGGGAAGCGCTTTCGCTCCGGGAAGGAAGCGATAAGCATCATTTCGGGCGCGAGCAGCTCGCATTGCCCAAGAACTATCACGTCTCCCGCGACCCACTTGATGTCTCGGCCGTGACCGTATGGGAGACCCATTTTCCTCGGCTTTTCACGGCCCGGGATTATCCCCCCGAGTAAACGCCTCTAGCTCGGGCCCTTCTTGCCTTTGTCTACACGAGCTGGAAATGATTGGGCTTTGTTGGGTCGAAAATGGAACTTACGAATATGCGTGAGTGGTGGCACGCGATGATCCTAAAAGTACGCGCAATCACGCTACGATCGAGATTACTTAATGATTGCCTTAAAAAATCTATCCATATTATATTGAAGCATTAAAGACTATAAAAGACGTGGATGTCAACGTGTTTGGGTTCCGGGAAGTTTTTTTTTTCGTTTTTTTTTTTTTTTTTTTTTTTTTTTTTTGTTATTTTGGCCTAGTCAATTCGTCTGAGAAAACGGGTACTGAGAAACTAGTTTGTATTGTAACGATAATGTAGAAAATAAATTACTTGCAAGTACAAGTTTCTCGGGTGTGTCACGAGAATATATGGAATATATGTAAATTGAAGTAACACGAATATTATTCAAAACTACGCGTCGACTCGGCAATACGTCGAAAGACGTACCATTAAGCTGTCATACGGTATGTCAAACAATTTTTTCTCACATAACCGAATCCATCGTTTTACCGAATTATTCAATTACAAATAATGGAGAACTCATAGTGTTCTTCTTAATTATGAAATTTAATATTATGAGCCATATATTTATTTGCTTCGACAAATTTTCTTTGCACAATTAAACCCACCAGTCTCGTTAAATTAATATTCACACAAAATTATTAACTACGCAAGTATATTTGGTGCTACACACTGCTTTATTCGGGAAATCTGTAAATTTAACGCGTACAGTTACATTAAGGTTAATTGATTTTACAAATTTTTCATATACATCCTCATTTAACGATGTTAAATGTATTTCTTTTTTTTTTACACGTACTATTCGATGAAATTAGAGTAATTTTATTATTTGAATTTAGAACAAACATTATGGTGAAACGTTGAGAAAAAATTGCATCACATTGTTTCTTACTCCAGATTGCACATCCTATTTATCTATTCGCAAAGCGAGTATGCATCTCTTGTAAAATTAAAATTCTTTTTCTTTTTTTTTCCTCTTAATGATGCAAAATATCAATAAAAGCAACTTATGTTTAATTAATTTTTCGGCTACTTAATTACAGTGGCTTATTTATCTACATTCACAATAAGCGACGAATCTGGATTTTCTGTAACACTCTCCGACGAAACAATAAATGAACAACCAAGTTGTTGCATTATTATCAAGTCAAACAATTAAAACGGAGACGGAGTGGCTGCCTCAAGCATTTCTACGAACAGGATCTCCACAAAATCCCGTGTTTTTAGGACAGATAAAACAAGTATTTTCTTTAGCTAATTACTTTTCCAAGTCCATTCGTATGCCAAGGTATATTTGGAAAGAAAGCCGCGGCCAGTTAACATTACGTACGCACGCACACGCACGCGCACCCATTAACTTACACGCGCGCGTACGTACGTTCATAGGGGCATGCATAAGTCATAGTTATGGGCGCGTATGCATGCAAAGGTCAACTTTTCAAGAGGTTTTCACCGGAGGACTCTAGAAGGTCTATAGACTATACCTCGATGCCGTTCCTTTGACCCCAATAATACAATCGAGCCATTGGCTCTTTGCACTTTCAGCGCTACTTCCGGTTGGCTCCAAGTCCCCCTGTAGGTGAACTACAATGTAGACGTAGATTCTTTAGGATAATGTTCTTTGTAAGCCGCTGAGGCAATTTCTTTTTCATTTTCTTCTTCAACATGATTTTGTATAATAATTTTCTTTTATTCTTTTTTCTTTTTCTGTTATTTTTTTCTCTGTTTATTAAGGGCGCCCAATCTTCAAACATGATTACGAAATATAAAGTTAAAAAATAATCATTTTAATGTTGAGGCGAGATTTATCGTAGGGTTCAATGCTGTATATTTAAGGGAAATGAAAAATATTCTAAACTCGCGAGAGAATTCATAACCAATAGGCATCAAAAGAAAGCAAAAAAAGAAAAAACTCTTCCCTATGAAGAAACGCGATAAATTGTTAACTCACTATTATACGTAAAACTACAATATATATATATATATGTATATATATTTTTTTTTTAACTCAATGATTACATGAAAATAATAAATAAATACATTCGCAGTACCAATTTTGCCATAGTGGTCGTTGAAAATCAACAATACGTCATCACTATTAAAAGAAATTAAATCTATACCGCGACAGAAATTGTGCCAACCTCGATTACAATGCTCAATATGCGCGATAACGGCGAATCAGTTATCAATTAACC